CGTGTTGTCCGACTTACTTGCTTGCCTTTGTCTGGCCGGTCGATTAGGTACGCCATTTCCGGGCTGTATATGTGCATTCGGCAATAAGGCAGAAATTGTTTATAACCACTTTCTAAGCAACATAATTCGTCCATTTCTGTCTATAAACTATTCTATTTCCGCTTTCTACTTGTCTCCTGTTTTTCTCCCCTTTCGCCGAGTTAATTTCCAAACCCACAAGGTGTCAAAATAAAATGCGTTATTATTATTATTCTTTGTAACGATTGCTGCAGGAAGGAAATTAGGGAGGCTTTGGAACCTTTTTACTTTTGCTTTGCATAGGAATTTTCTCTAACTCTTTTTAAAAAATCACTCTTTTCCATTGAATCAGTTTTAGCATTTTTACATCTCATTGTTGTGATTGTGAGAGTTGGACTGGCTGGGTGCTCCGTACCTGCAACATCAACGTGACCACTTCATTCCCTCTACCGAGCAAACTTGCCGATTGCGAGTGCTCACAATACTCGACTAAGCGATTTAAGTATAAATTTTCCCGCCCTCTGCTCTAAGATGAGAAACCGTCTACAACTTACTAGACAGCATTATTCACATGAATCGTCTAGACCCAGCTAGTAACTACTCCTAACCCAGATACCTTTACCGCTAAAGAAAATGTTTAAAGACTTGAAACCAATGGACTTCCACATGTGTCCACTGTGCCCATTTTTCCACTCTTGAAAGCATGCCATATTTGCAGTGTCGGCCGAAATTTCAACACAGGCACCACTTTTATTTCTTGGTGAGTTTTTCCCTACAAATCCATATCTGAACCAATTGGATTCTAGTTGCTGGCTCGGTGCGAAATGCCGAATAATTCATTGGCTACCTTTTCGGTGTTTAAATTACTTTTTTTTTCTGACTGCTGATTCCTCACTTTGACCACTGAGAAGACGACTTTCTAATTAACTCACCTTTCTTTCCTCCCTTTTTTTGTTTATTCACCTCGAAACCTTCAGGCAAAAGAAAACTTAAGACAATTTCTGGCAACACTTAGTGGAGATTTTAACTTAAATGGCAATATTACTGCAAGAGATTACTTGAAAGTGCTTTATTCGTCTAGGTAATTCCCATTTATAATCTGCAATCCTTTCTCAATGAAACATTCTTGCAAAGTACTTTGTCCCTAGAGGTCAAGGGAAAAAAATGGAGACCAATCGCTTCCATTCCTACCTGCTTTATTTCCCAAGGGTCTGTTGCATTTCTCGTGCGATTGTCTTATGTCAATAAAACGCGAAAATCCTTTGGGAAAATGCTATCAAGGGGACAACACAAGCTGAGAATGCAACCTTACCTTCCTCTTACCTTGAAGGGATCTATTTAGTATGAAGTTTTGCGTTGTTTTGTAAGGCAAAGAATAGGACTCCCTTCCGACTGGCTGATTGACTGGTCCTTGCTGTTTTCGAACAAGTTTTTTTCTTGTTCACGCTCGAGCGGTATCGAGTGTGTAGGTCTCGTCCGTGGTTGCTTGATCTTTATTAAGTGAATTATTCAAGAGGAGTAATTTCCCAAAAATACGAGGCATTTTTGTTACCAATAAACTCGAAAGAAGAGCGACAAATTGATCATTGAAGCTCATTTTCTATCATTTGGCACCTGGGTGGTTTTTATTTGCTTAGAGGCTTCTACTGTGACCTCTTCCCAGTTGTAAACCGACTGCTTCATCGCTCACCTTTCCCTGGCATCTTATTTGAACCAAGGTTTACACGTAATTCATCATCATTCTCATGAATAGTGGGTCTTTCTTTGAATGATTCATTACGAAAACTGCCTACCGCAGCCTCTCCAAATGTTGTTCAACAAATCCGCAAGCATCTAGCTTTTACACCTTTGGAGGCTATAAAGCGGACTGCACTGAATCGCATCCATCACGTTCACTCCGCATTTTATGATATAAAAGTTCAAAATGGAGCAAAGATAGTACACAGCACAATAAATACCACTGTGCTGACAGGCGGATGCATTTATGGAGCTTGCAGTTCAGGCATATAAACTACCATTATTGTCTTTTACAAACCCCTGCAAGTTACAACTCATTGCAGCGAGGCACTTCGGTGCCTACACGAATTTCATGGCCACTTGTTGCATTTATCTGGAACGAAATTTTATCCTGCGTGTACTCGAAACTTATATTTAGGTTCAAAGGATTGTTGCGGATACTCTAGAACCAGTTTATTGAGAGGTGTCTTTATTACCAAACCGCTTTTATCCATCCCCATCCGTTTTTTTTCGGGTGGCTTGTATTCATTATCGACCATAGCGCCCGTAACGGCAGACATCAATCCGTGATGTTGACGTTGTAGACATGTTCGCTGTCCCCCCTCTTAACAGGACGTTAATGCCTTCGCTATCAGGGTCACATATGCGTGACGCGTTGACTTCACTGGCTGAATCCGTACCTCGAATTGGCATGACATGTTCAACTAAGAAACTAAAATTGGGTTGGGAAATAAGAACAAAAGGGAAAGAGTTGCGATTAAATGAAAATTAAAACAGTGAGACATATCTGGACAGTAGCGAACGACTGAATTCTTTTCTCAGCTCTACATTTTTCATTGAGAAGTGGCCGAAAATATTTGCTATATTTACATCCAAATTGTTCGTTCTCTTAGCCACTAAGATGAAGGATACGCAATTCATGTCCACTTAAAGCAAAAATTGATGAGGTTTTGATCTTTCTCACAAAGCCATTCGAAACGTCGGCTGTCAAAGCCTCTCCGTCTCTGCCATTCGTCGGATTGAAATAGAGCACCAGATAATATTTGTCTTTTTAAAGCGACTTCTTACTTTAAACTAGTCAATGTCTACTTAGACTTCCTGATTTATTGTAGAATTTCGTGGCCCATTAACGTCGAATAGTTTCTTTTCCCCGTTCAAATATCACTTCAAGTTACTTATGCGTAGACGTTTTGAAATGACTTTACCCTGCTAATTCTTCCAGACTGGGAGGTCTTTTGTGTTCCACGTGTTGATAGATGTCAATCTCGACTGCATTGAAGCCTTCGTAATGTACCATACTGATATGATGGCACAGTGTACTCTGAACATCTGGGAAGCTATCAGTAACTACCACGAGAGTTGGAAAAAGAACCCCGGAATTGATCTGCAAAAATGCTAGTGCAGGAGGTAAATAGATTGCGGGAAATGTCGAGTCAGAGCATCTTGCAAATAACTCCGAGCAGAAACCGTGCGGAAACCAGCACTTTTAACGGGGACACCGAAAACCAAAAAAACAAGCGGTGTTGGGATGACCTTTTTCTAAGTAAAGGCTTGAATAGCGAATGCCCTTGCGAAGTTGAAGAGTCAGTGCAAGAAAATGTCACCACGGACTTCTAATGAAGGGAGGTCTCAGTGGTGTCTGAAATCCCAGAAAATACTGCTTCGACTCTCTGGAAGTCTTCTTCTTCAAGTCTAGTTCTTGACTGTTTGAGGAAGCCCTGGGATCCACAGTCGCGCTCAGTTCCTCGAATTGCCCAATATCGTGTACAGTCAGACTCTGAGTGTGCTAACGATCACTATGAGGCCGCGGTAAATCAAAATACTGCAAAGCACGCGTACGCAGACTCCAGTTCACCTTACATCTGAACTTAACTATTTTTTTGTGCAGCAGGATTCGGCGCAACCGGCTAAGGCATTTGCGAGACCCGGTGGTGTAGGTAAGAAAATCGGGCCGTCAAGTGTACTTGGTGCTGGTGGCAAACACTTTAAAGTAAAATAGCTCCCACCGGGTGGGAAAAAAGGAATGCCAACCTCTCTTAATTTACTACGCATACGGTAATGGACTAACAGTGCAGTCAAAATCCTTATTGTCGGTTAAATCTGGCCTCCTCTTTTGTTTAAAACCAGGGGACCAAGCACCTATTTTTGATCTCATAATGCGAGGGTAGTTGAAGGATTCTTGCATGGCGGATGGAATACCTCACGATACTGTTTCGCTAGTTTTATTCCCCTCTTGAAGGAGGTGATTTCAATTGGTCGCCAACTTTTTTTCAGTTCTCTTTTTATCAACCAATGGGGAAGCGCGTACTAAATTTGCCAGCTTTTTTTTTCCCCACGAAAGACCTGGACGTGTTTTATGGTTCCGGATTAGTGCGTTTGAAAAAAAACAAATTGTTCATCCATCCAGGCGCAAAAATATTTTGCTTGGCAACCATTGGCAGAATTGAAGTACTTCTCTCGAGTAGACATTGCATTGGTTTGCCAATTTTTTTTTTTTGACGAACGCCATAGATGCGTCATTCTGGTGTCGGATTTCGTTTTGTTGTTGAATTACTTTTCGAGAGAAATGACGATTGTGCTTGCCTGGATTTGCCGAGGCCTGAGTTTGCACAACTGCGAGGAGGAAGGACTAGCATTACGTCACATCTTTAATATTGAAGGTGGGTGGTGAATGGATGTAAATTCACCCGCCCCTTAGACACTGTTTTCTTTGGTGGAGATGTCGCCTGTGGGAAACGAGAATTCGGAAGTGTGGAGGGTCGCTACCTTTCAGTTGACTACATCTACATCCGTAAGGAACGATGAAATATTTCTTGGAGAAAAGATGTAGATAGAATAAATGGGAGTATTTTTTCTGTTTTTTTTTTTCGGACTGTTTCAAGTTGCTCAGCGGTGGTAAGCGAATGTAAGGAAGCATAATGTTAATTGTCTCCTTGCATTTGTTTACAAAGCCTTCGAAGTGCCTCCCTGTTCACACCTTTGGGCTGTGACTACACCCTTTGCGATTCACTTTCCCTGCTGAGTGTGAAGCCGCAAATGTTTCCATCATTTGCGTGCGTAGGCGACCAAACTACAAATTTCGTTTCGTGTTTCTTTGGGAATTCATTTGGTGTTATGCCATTTTTTCTCACTGTTTTAAGTCATTCACCCGTGTCTGTTTCTTTGAACTGTTTCCTTTTCTTCCGAGATACTGGATCAAAATGCCAAATTTAATATTTTTTACCATTTGCACTTCAAAAAGGTATGGAATCTCGATTTCTAGGTTGATAATTCGGTCTATTATTTTGCGATTTGTAGGTTCACCTTGAACAGCCCTGTGTGATTTGTTTCTCCGAGAGCGACTTGAGTAACAATTTTTTTTCCGCTTCTATTTCGTTTTGTTTTTAATAAGCACATTTTCCACCCAGTTTCGTCTTTGTAGATAATGCCTATTATTTCTGCCTCCTCCTCCTCCTACCCTTCCAACAGGGTGAAATACAAACACAGGCACGAGAGCATTGAGGCGGTGTTCGTGCGTATCCACTCCATCCCATTATTCACTGTCTAGCATGAATTTAACTGTGAAGGGGTTCGGCAATCAGTTCGCCTTGTCGTTTGGAGTTCTTTTCCTGTTGGCACGATTTCTGTCGCTGAAATCAAGCTGAGCTCACTTAATTTATTGTCTACGTTACTTTTTCCCGCTAATAAAAAATGGTTTGCCAAATTTCTCCTTGGTGTGAATTTTGTACTGAGCAAGCGACGCGTGAACGTTCCTTTTTCCCCTTCTAAATTCCCCTTGTCTTTCTTCCATCAGCCGAACTTTTGCGAGATGATGCAAAGCATGGCTGACGCGTAGTTTTGGCGATTAATTGAAGGGGGTGGAGGAGAAAATACTCAACTTTTTTCATGAAAATATCTTGATTTATTTAAAACAATGCCGAAACCACTTTCATGTGTATTTTAGAGTACAGTATTTCTACCATTTAACCCTTCCTTAAGTAACAGGCCAGTCTGCACTCTTAAGCCTTTGGTGATTGTTGCTTCATCGGCAAGTGGTTGGACATTGTGTTTAACTCAAAGGAGATCTGCTAATCGCATTCAGTTTTTCCGGTACCTCTTCAACTGGCATTCTACCGTATCTCTTCGCCTTGCGTTGTTTTTCTTCTGGCTAACTGGACGATCAGCCCTCTGAGCATCTGCCACACTAGTCCCAGATTCATTTCAAGCCTTTTATCTTCTCTCCTCGGATGTCTGCGAGGGAGAGCACTCTATTTCCACACCGAACGCAGGTGTCAACACACTCACCTGCCAACCTACTAGAGCATCGTTTCTCCTCCTTTAGTGCCATTGGCGTGTTGCTACCTCAACTGGGAGGTTGGATGCCTTGCTGGACTTGTGAAGGAAAGGCATTTTCTGAACATTTTCCAGTCGTTTTAATCTTTTCGTAAAAGAATTTACAGTATTGACTTTTCTTACCCCTTAAATTCCCTTGATTGTGCCTTGTGCTGGATCGTCATCTTAACTCCTGATTAGTGCATGGACTCCGATTTAATGTATAGCGGTTCAGCAGTTACGGAGTAGGGAGATTTAAAACTTCGCTTTCGTTACCTTGGCTTTCCTCCTCCGTGCTCTGATTGACTGGTATGATAGAAAGGTAAAGTGGTAGGTTTTTTTAAAAAAACGTAACCGCATATTTTCTCTTCTGAGTTGTGACAGCTGGCCAAGTTTGCTTGATCTGACATCTGTTTTTTTTTCCTATTTTCCCAAGTGTAGGATTCCATTTCTTCCTCGAGAGTCGTATAGCACTTTATTAATCCATGCTAGAAAGAACCGGAGGACTGTCTCGTCTAGTGGAATCACGATCAATTCGGTGGCGGCTGAAGGGATAACATAGAAACATAGGATATCTCCGTTAATGTGCACCCAGTTACATCATTTTATGAATTATTCTCTTTTTCCTCAAACACTCAGTGAGTTTTTTTTTCGCACTCTCGTGTTAGAAGTTGTTAATATTATAAAAGCTACACGCTCAAACGCGTTATGTAACTATTTCAGCCTGACAATTCGGCTGCTCTCACTAATTCGTTTTATGAGTAGGATGTGTTGCGTGAGGGCGAATGTAAAACTTGGGTGCATATGGAATTAAAGGGGCAGAATCAATGTTCTGTGGACTCACTGTGTACATCCGAGGCGCATTATCTATCTTTGCATCGGTGTTGCGTATACACAGCTCTCCAGACATCCGGAGACCTTACTTATCCTAAATATTTGTCTGCAATAAGCTAAACACGTAGTCATTTATTTCTTTTGCCCATTTTATAGGCATATTTAGTGCTTCTGAGTGATTCCATACCTTTATTATATATGAGGGTTTTGTCACTTGTTATTATCTCTATAGAGTATTTCCTTTGAGCACTTAGCGTTTTATGGGCAAAAATACCAATTATTACTCGAAAAGTAAGAGGAGTAGTTATCCTCAGACCACGAAAATCCCATGTGTATTTTATTAATTCAGCCTCAGTCAGTCTGGTTGTGACTCCAAATTTAACGTGACCACTTTTCACTTACTAACGAACATGTTGCGTCTGTGCGGTACTAGTGGCGAAGGTGTCAAGGCTGTACGGTCGAAGTGATAAGGTATTAGCATAATTAGTGTGGCAAGATGGAGTGACTGAACTTTATGTAGACTGCAGAGCCCACAAAAGTAGGTAAACAACCTAAACGAGTATCGTTCTATAGATTCGGCCGATGGAGGTCATTGCGAAGCAAAATTTCGACGAGGCTGACCGTATGGACGTGGTAACCGGAGATCGCATTCTTGTGATCGAGGGACGTGCAGAGAACTTTTGGTGGCGGGGCCAGAATCGACGCACCGGAGAGATAGCCTCTTTTCCCCGTGAAATCGTCCGTCTTCAACGACATCTACAAGGTAAGTTGCCCTTGCGGCTCCCTAGTCGTTCTGGAAGACGTTACCATAGGGCATGAGTCGTTCCATGTTCTGATGATACAATTTTGGTAAAGTATGCCCTGACGACACTCGTCCTTCGGTAGTCAGTCTTTCAGTGACGACTTTTTACCACATCGAGAAGGCTACTTATTTTATCAGTAGCGCTGCATCTTGTGCATTTCGATAGAATTTCTTGCATGTCATACCAATTGTTAGGCGAGGGATTTCTCTAGGGCATTATTGCTTAAAGTTGGACGGCATTCTTTAGTGGGAGCTGGTTTTATGTATCAGCTTGGAGTCAGGTAAATTGCAACACTCAAATCCGTTTCTTTTTCTGTATTCCTTCCGTTGTGAATCTTTATGATTCCGGCAATCCATAGGAGATGGCTTCTTTCAGTAAATTTTTGGATTGGTATCCAACCAACGCGGTCCGGAATTTATTCATTTGAAATTTCCCAACCAAGGCTGACAACAATATAATGTTTCAGTCACTCCTAAAGACATTATAATGACGCTTCATCATTGACATACCAATCACCGAGCACACCGTTTACACGGATGGCATAAGCAGAGCTTCGTGCCATTGTTTTGGCGATCAAATCGTGAGGGAGAGAATAGACGGTTATTAAGGACACATTCCATCACTGGGGTATTGTCAATCAAGCTCCATAAGGTGGGCCTGTCTTTGGTTTGTTAACACCTTTCATCATACCCAAAATTCTGATTCGTCGATGTATCTGCCCTTTCATACGGTGAAACCATCGGAACACAACATTAGGCAGCTCGCTGCATCAACTAAGGGGCATAATTTTTGACTGGAGAATTTGTGGCTTGGCTAATGTGTGCGACTACAGTGCATTCGTCGAAATTTTCGATTGAATGTGTCCAGTCTTTCAAATAATTGCAATCTGTTCACTGCCAGCGTCTCGGAGGCAGTACTTGCGCTAGCGAACTGACCAATCGGCTTACTAATCAAAAACTGAGTGTAATAATTTTTCAGGCCATGACTATCCTACACCTATTTTCGTGTTTCGGACTCATTCGTTTCATCCATGACATCCCCTATCAGCAGACATCGAGCCCTTGGTAATGTTCTAATGCTTACTGATAAACACCTCAAAGAAATATTGAGCTACAATGGAAGGAGAGCTAGGATGTATGATTCCAGAGATTTTCGGCCACTTTCTTCCGCATCTTATAGGCTTAGTCTTGTCTGAACACCCGTGTAATAATTCGAGCAATCCTCTCGATCCATAGCTTGACAACCTATTACCATTCTCTGGCCGTTGATCCTGCTGCATGGGAATAGAACGCAAGCATGATTAAAATGGATCTCAATGATGACGCCGTTATTGGTTTGTGTTTTAACATTTGATGGGAGAAGTGGTCCAGACAGGAGCCAGAAGCCCCTTTTGGACCTTTAAAATGAACTCCCTGGTAATGATAATCGTGAAATCATTGTGTTTTGGGGCTGTTGAGGTGACGGTACAGGACGACCACAAGCATGTTGCCAATTAATAACTCTGTTTTTAATCACTTATTCTTCCTCTCCTTTCACTCGGTTGCAGGTCAAGACATCAGCCGACCGATTGAAAACTCGTTTGTGCATGTCGGTCACCATGGCTTCGAGGGCAAGGCTTGGGGTCATGTCGATCGCATTGATCCGTGAGTAATATCTCTATTTCATTCTCCTTTCCTTTCAACCAATTCCGCATATCTCGCTTAATTACCTCCTATTTGTTCTTGCATTGCTCAAATACCAGTGTTCGAACTTTTACCAGCCTCTAGCAACATTGCGGCGAATTTCCAGTCTTTGTAATAAACATGAAACAGCTTCGTAAAACTTAGTATTTTCACCAGAGTGGCAAAAAGCTTCCATATTCCACTCTTAAGCAAAATTTTGTCTCTAGAAGCCAAGTAGAAAGGCACACCCCAGTGGCATCCTTTTCTACCTCACAACTCTAATCCACTTTGTATATGATCATGCGGTTGTCAAGCTTTGATGTCACGACATGAAACGTGACTGATCGCTGATCCTTGCCCTATGGTGCAATTTATGCGAGGACTTTGGGCCGTATCAAGTCGTATACTTATTTATGCACGAGGGCAGAAGTAGTCATGTGACACCGAAATACGATCAAATACTCTTGCCCTTCTCCGCCGGGCACCTTGCCAATGTGGTGATACAGGGAGGTAAAATTAAATAACTTAAAGCACTTGTCTAAAGCTAGAGAATACGACCCTTTTCCCTCGGAAATATTGCACTTTTTTTCCGATGTTTCGTTTAAAAGACTGTACATGATCTCACTGCAGATGAGTGAGAAGCATTTGCAGACTTTTAAATGATTTCCCAAACTTTGTTAAAAAGGACATGAACATGCTGACACGGAATTATTCAAAGTTTTCTTTTCTTGAAGCAAACAATCCTTTCTTTCTGCATATGAAGCAACCTGCATGATTGATGAATTGCTGTTGTCAATTTTTTCAGGCAGAGAAAAGGAAATCAAAGCGTGGAAGACTTCGTTCCTTTTTGTATAAAATGGGGCATCAAATAAACCATCTTGTTCATCTGTTAAAACTCAAAAGTTCAATGCTAGAGGAAACAAACGATCCCCTTTTTAAGTAGACAATTTTTCCTTTCACCCACGCTGAACAATCGGGAGGAGCTTCATATATGCGCAGCAAGTCTCAAGATGGGTGTGAAGGCAATGCTTTGTGTACAACTCACCCTGGGTCACCCAGACGAGGTGACGACGGCGAGGGTTTGCCGCTAACGTGCAGTGGTGCTGCAGAGAGCTACAGGCTTGGGTGGGATGCCAAAATGCCGAGACGGTAATCAAAACCCCTATGTCTGAAGAACGGCAGCTTCGGCGCCACCCATAGGCATTCTCTTACTTTAATCTTACGAGCTCTTTCTGTAGACTATAATCAACTGCATGTTGGAAACACGTGATACTAGTAATATTGCGTTTTGGGAGATTGCTGTCTTCTGCATTAGTGGTAGTCCATACTCTTGGAATGGTTAGGTTGTCTAAAAATATCACGTTCTTCGCAAGCATTTCCAAGTCGACTTGAATTCGTGTCCTCCTAGTCCCGTTCCATTGCGCAAAACACGAAGTTGGAGGCTTGCCAAAAGTCGACCCCTGCTCGCTAAGTCCGTGATAAACCTCTTCACCGTTAACCACGCTAATGTCAGCTATCTCCCTTTTGCAGCGTCTAGGCGTATTAACCAGCCTAAGAGACACGGATTTGCTTTCAGTTTGATCGGATTGGTTTACCGCTGTCAACAATGTACCGACCGCAAGTTATTCCTGAAGAAGTGTTAAGGCGTTTGAGAGTATGGGGAGGATTTATTAGCGCAAAGTATGATTGAGGTGTTATAGGTGTGGGAAGAATGCTATGAGATTGACACGGTAATCGAAATCGCTTGTTGTCAAATATATCATTTGAAATAGAGGACATTTTATCGTGAGGCGGATTCAGACAAAGCCTGGAATTTGGGTTTTCCAACCATTCATAGACCTACACATCTTCTGAAGCCAAAGTATCCTGTACAGAAAAGATTTTTCATCAATTTCACTTTTTCACGCCCTTTTGATAGTGCCTTTCTTTCTGGTATCATACCGCACCACGCGGATACACTGGGCCACACCTACGCCCGTCAGCCTCTCTCCGCTTCGTCTACCTCTGCTTCCAACTCGCAGTCATGGCGACCGCTGGGGAACGCGTCTATTGGTGGTGGTGGTGGATCTGGTGCCTCTGTTGCGGCCTCCACTGCTATCGAGGAGGTGGAAGATGGTACCACACCCCGTGTGGACACCTACGACAAGGCGAGTGGGGAGGGCGAAGACGAACGTGAACTCCTTGATGCCTCACCCCATGGAACCCTCGGCTTGCAGCGACTTCCGCCTCCACCGACAGCCTCGATGACGTCGAAGTTGGCCAAAGGTGCGTCAAAACTAGTCCTCTTTGTTGTGGATACTGTTGCAGTTTGTATAGCTCTTGATGCATACGCTTTAGACCGATCCATCCTCTCTAATGGGCACGCGATACGCTTTACTCCGTGAAACCTTAAAATCTCAGTATAGCCTTTGATTTATCTACTTTAAGAAAAAAATTCGTTAAGGCTATCTGTCTTTTTTCGCTTAACAGCGGTAGTGACTTCACTCCTTACCGCCGCCTTTTCTCATTGACTCTAACTTAGTTGTGTTGGACTTTCAAAAATAGGATTTGTCGTTTGTTATAATAGACAATAATTATTCATTTCTTCGACTAGCCTGAAATCCTCGCCTTCATTTTAGGTATGCTTGAACTCGTGTTTACAAGTTGATATGTGAAATGGGTTTGGTCCTATCCGTTGTCTGTATACTTTCGTCGGGTAGGTAGTACACCTCTTTATTTCCATCAGTGCCATAATCCTTCAAATAAGTATGCATATTCTCTACCAATGTCACGTGTATTCTCTGCATCAAATTGTGTTGCAAACAGATTTGGTAGAGATTATTTGCAATCTGAGGGAAATTGCTTCCTAGTGTAGGCGACGCTACCAATCCAGCTGGTTGTACGTCTGGGGTGCTCCGCATCCACTCCACCTGGAGTACAGCCACTCTGAGAGATACAAATTACTCGAGTCTCCGTTGCCGAATCGCTACAGAGACCGCATCTTTTGTTGTTATTAGTGAGTTATCTATTTTCCCCTTTTTCCGTCACCAGATCTTGAGGCGTCTCTTCACAGCGAGTACTATTCGTTGGGCTGTAGCAGTCTCACCGCCTCCTCCTTGCCTGTGCCCATCCCGCCGCCGCAAATCTCCATCTCCTCAAGGTCAAGGAACTGTGCTACAACTACCGCTACAAATGGTGGAGGCGGCGGCCGGTCGGCACGGGCCTCTTCTCCCTCCTCAACTCTCTCCTCCGCATCCCTCATCGATTTCCATCAGAGCTCGGAGAGTGCGTCCAAATTCCCGGTTAGTTGACATCTCTATCCACCCATTTAATTATCTTCTGGTTTATTTGCCTACCTTTTGATCTCTGGCTTCCATTTGATAATTTCGGTCGGCAAATCTCACTTTGGTTTCTCAGATAAATGGCAGATTCATGCGAGCAGTTAGGAGTGAATCGAATGCCTGGTTCCATTTGGAGGGGTTTTTTGGATATCTGCGATCTACCAATCTACTCGTGTGTCTGTCTCTCCCACTGTCATCTGGTTGATCGGAAAAGATGCAAAACGAATCAGTGGAATAGCTTGAGGTTACTAAATCGGTTTTCCGCATTTACGGATTTGTATTGATAGGGTAAAATTGCCGGAGCGTAGACTCACGTGATCATGCGGATCGTGTGATACTGATCGCTGTTAATTTATTTAAAAAAAATATTTAGAACGGATTCGGGACAAAGCGAGTAAACGAGGTCACACGGGATGTATATGTGAGGACCACGATATTTCTCTTGGTCTAGCTTCCAATAGAACTTTCAGCCAATTCATTATTAAATCGAGGCGGCGATTTTAAATTACAAGTCCTTGTTATTCATTTTCTGGGAAATGAATTATCGAAATGGGTTCCATCTCCCTTGTCAAACTGTTCAATTGGTTAAATCAGAAATGTCAGCGAATGTAAGTCACCAGAAAGAGGGCTGTCTAGGCTTTGACAGTTTTACCGTCCGCCCTGCTGCCTGTCCAACCGTTGCATAGCGTCTGCACGCATTAGTTTCCACCTAGCACTTTAAGGATCACTGGTATTTCGGCCAGAACAGACGCTCAGTTGGGCTAAAACTCTACAAGGTAGGATACACTCGTCCAACCTTGTTCCGTAAACTGGAAATGTCAAATGTGCGTCAGTGTCGTCTCTCTACTAAGTAAACAATTCATTCCAGGCGATGGAAAATAAAATTGTTTTGAGGGATTGTCTGATCATATTTCTACAGAAATAAAATGCGATTACTTTTGTGGTTTGTGATAATTGACGAGGGTGGAGGTTGTCTTGTGGGGTGGTGGTATCCAATCAATTTCGGTGTCACTCATACCAGAAGTTTGATTCCTTTTTTACTTGTTTTTTAAGAATTTTGGAGACAGGAAGCCCCTGCCTTACCGTCTTTTTATGGGAAGAAAAAGGAGGAATTATGTTACCACCTTTTATGCAAATGTTCAATTTGCGTGATCAAGCAAAGTTGACATCCTGCATTGTTTTCTTTTCAAAAAACCACTTTCTTAGCCCTTCTGTCGTCTGCGTCTCATACCTGACGCACTAATTCTCATGTGCTTAATATTCATTCCTTACTACTTCATGATAGCTGGTTATGTCAAATCATATCGCAAACGAATTGGTTTTGATGAAGGCAATGGAATAGATTTTTTGTGCTCTTGATCCGAGGGGTATTTGCGTTCAGTAGGTGAGCTGTAGTGGCAGACCTTCGTCTGAGACTTCGATGCGAGCGTTTGACACCAATCTGCTGGGTTTCCTGTGCATCATCTCTTAGGTCACCCTATGCTGGAAATATGCACTACCTGATCGACTGTAAATTAGGTTTGGGACCATGTGACTGCGCTTCGCTATACTATTCGGTCAAAATCAAAAACTATATCTTGATACCTAATGTTCTTCCCATAAAAGGCTGTGGAATCGTGATGCGCCTACGCACTAAAAGGGATTAATGTAGGAACAGAAAACCAAGCAGTAATAGGTGTTCTGTCTCGCCTATTCTACACCAATGATCATCGCACTTATCGTGACTGGTCAAGCCCAATCCAAACACTCCTAAAATTACGATGGCAAGCAGCGGTATCATGACTTCCTTAGCCGTGTAACGATGTGCAAAATTTCATGTTATCATGGAAGGCGAACATCCACTTGCTTTTCTATGCAATTTCATGCATAATATAGAGCTGCATGCTGACGAATGGGTTGTTTGGCCTTTAAAGGCTCCAAGGCGCTCGTTCGTAATTCTGTACCTCAGCGATAATTAAACCGTGGTGACCCCCACCTTAGTCTCACGTAACGACCGTCCAAGCTCCTTTGAATTGTGCTGATTCTACTTAAGCGTGAATTCCAGTAGCAGACTCGTGGTTTTTCATTCAGACACCATACCATCCAACTGCGAGTCCTACACTCTATTTAACTGATATCTAAACAGCCACAACCTACCGGTATTTGCACCGACTCCAAGAGCTTGCGTCTTATTCGCTTCATTCACGTAGTCTACCTTGGCTCCAGGTTAAGTAATTTTGCGTACTTTTTTTTCTAACTCAGATACCATCAGCCCCTATCTACCAGTCACAAGCGTCGCCACCTCGAAATCCCTACTTCCAGGCGGCGTGGAATGCATGGATGCGTCAGTCAGCAGCCTCCTCCTTCGCCACCACTGCCCCACATGTGGCTGAAGACGTGGACCACATTCGTCGTCTCTTCGATGCCACTCCCATCGTACCGCCTGCCTATCAGCAGTGCGAGAGAGAGGTACTGGTTGGAGGTGAGTTGGGGCAGAGCCTCTAGATCCACCTGGACGGGAGAGAAAAATATGAAACTTTTAAAAAATTTTTGAAGACGTGACCTCTAATTCATTCCTGTTTCCAATACAAATCCGCAGATGTATTTGAATTACCTGTATCCCGTCAGGAGATGTCTTGATGATGTATGCGACACATCTCATGGAGTCTCCATGCATTTGGTCACTGTGCTAGGTTGGAAAGGCTTAGACAAATTCGAGGTGTTTTCCAGGCCTCGCGGTTAGGTGCTTTCTAATTTTGCCCTATGTAGGCTGATTCAAGGTTTGAATCAAGATCCCTTTTGAATGTTGAGTCCAAATCTCAATGCAGTAATGTAATCACGGAATGTGAGAAAAGAATTTTTGAATGAGTCGACAACTTCTTGGCACCGATCTCTGGACTGGTCTCCGCTGTCTGTGCGTCCAGTGGAGGTGAATATTTTCTAGCATCGGTCACTTGTAAGTCGGAAGACAGAGCAGAGCTCGGGGAAGATGCCTTCAGATCAAAGTGACATTTACTGTCATTTCATGTCGTCAATTGTCAAACTGTCTTTTTTTAAATCTTCAGCTGCTTCCTCAACAAATTTGAATCCATTCCTGTCGCCACAATCACATCTCTCCGAATCAGTGAGTTTGTTTCCGTTGTTTTTCTATTTACTTATTAAAAATGGATTTTGCCTGTGACGATGCCAGAGAACTGATTCAACTTATGCTTTTAAGGCTTTTTTCCCTCTCAAAATGGAAAAAACAGCACAGGAGAAAAATTTGCACCAAAAGTAGCAAATAAAATTTATGTTTTGCACCCGACCCACTTTTAGCCCCTCGAAAGGGGCAGTATATCATACTAAGTAGGGGCTATTATTTTGTGTACCACTGGCCTGGGGAAAGGCGGGCTATAGGCGTGGCCTTCCATCATGCCACCAAGGCGAAAATACAATCCGTGCGGGAAGTGGAGAGCTCGCGCAGCTAAATTTCGGCTCCACCACACTTTCTCATTTGAAGCATTGGTAGTTGTCATGCTCTTAACAAGTCAACTGCCACTCTTCCATCTGTTCTCAAAGAAGCTTTATTGCCTAGGATCACGAAATACTTGAGGCTGATTTGTTTTTGTGGATCTTAGCACACATTTCAAGAGTGATGCCCACTTTGGGCAGAGAGCTTTGTTTTTCACGCATAAAAGGGACTGGAAGGCTATTGACACTGCTAACCTGAAGCGCAGCCTTCCCTTCTGCATTCATAATTTTGAAGCAGATGTTGCCTTGTTTGCTAGCTTTCAGAAGAGTATAGAAGGTGAGAATGAATTGGAAGATCCCGATAATTTGTCTATTTTCGTAAGTCAAATGTAGGGCTGCCAATTTCCCGTCAATTGGATTTCCCTCATCGCTGTGAGTTCCACTTAACGATGTCCAAAGTAGTGAGGTAATCCCTTCTCTTTCCCACTTCCCTCCTCATCATCGACTTCTTTGAATGCAGTCAACTTAAATGAATAGTCCGTTGTTTCTCCCCCTTTGTCCCGTTGATGGTGTGGCTGTCGTCTTCTTGGTGGTTTTTTTTGGCCTTGGTGAAACAGATAAGAGTTAAACAGTTTTTGGTCAAGCAGAAGTAGGAAAGGTAAAGAGCAAGTGATGTTGTTTGTCGTTCCACTTTACCGCTGGATATTACAGTCTGACACAGTGAACTGTTTAAAAGTCGAAGTCGTGTTGTGTTAATCCAGCAAGCAAAGCCTGAATCCATTCGTTGGTTTAAATCCATTTGATAGGTTGCGGTGACTTTTAAATTCGTGAAGAGGCCTTCATCTGTGCTTCCGCGCATTTCGCTTTGGAATAGGCCGTGTCAGCCGTAGGTAAGTGGAGGGCATTGGATCGGCAAGTTAATACGATGCCGCTAGAGTAAAAGGGCCTTTGGGTTCAAAAGGTACCTGTTTCTCTGGCAGACTTTGATAAGTCGTTTGCCGCGAATTGCATTCTGAGGGTCATTCGCTGGGTGTTGTTTGGCTCTAAACAAGGCACCTTCATCGAGCCCATTGGAAATTCAAAAAAACTTTTCTATCATACACCTTGTGGAAAAAACCACTTTAACAAGTTACATACATACATACATACATACAAGTTACATCTCAGCACCCTTGGCCTCAACACCGTTTTTTACTTCATTTAAAAATTTCGTCGGTCCTATTCTTTTA